AATCAGAAACTCATGTAGGATGTAACAGAATAGCCCGTTTACACGAGGCCCTGCGGACAGATCATCTTAATGTGGAAGAGAAATTTGGCTTATTGCCTATCTGCAACGACTACTCAGACATATTCTTTTTGAATGGTGACAAAACTAAGGCGACTACGGCGATGCACATCAAATCATAACCTCAGAAGCGGTGCAACCAATAAATGATAAACCGTATCATTTGCCACAACGACATGGGCAGGAGATAACCGACCAGATGGAAGCACTAGAAAGGGATGGTGTAATCACTCCCAATGATTCACCGTAGAATGCCCCTCTTCTAGTTTGTTGAAATATACAATTAATATGTAGTATATGTAGTCAGCCTTGACACGTGTGTACAATTTAGTAACTTGTTATATATGAGCATAAGACTCGCTCTCTTCACGGATGTAACATGACCTCGGTCGTGCATATATATGTTACAGTTAAAACCCGAAATCCGTCGAAACTAGTTTTAACTAGTCAAAACTAGTTTCCACAAATCCCTTTAGTCATTACTGGTCTTAACTAGTTAAAACTAGAATTCACCGCAGGTTCAAATAAGTCAGTGAAAACTAGTTTTAACTAAAATGTATGACAATAATATTATATTGTATTTAAACTCGTACTACATAAAACTCACGCGACCACAGACGATCTATAAATATTGCTCGATAATTATTTGACCGGCCGACTATCAAATCAATTAAGATGACTTTAACTAGTCGTCCAACACTTAGATACGATGTAACTTCGACAGATTATACCTACAATAAAAGAATCAAGTTCCAAACAATCATATTTCCCTCCGTGCAGCCTCAACAAAAGCATCGACGGGGTCGGGGCAAGGCTTTGTAAGATGCACATGTAAAACGTCCTGCGGAACAAATCGTTGTTTATGTAGAAAAAATAAAATACTATGCAATTCTAAATGCCACAATAGTTTGTCCTGTCAAAATAAATAATATAATAAATTCCTTTAATAATTATTCTAATGTGTACTTATATTTCTACTTTTCCCTAGTTAAAACTAGTTTAACCTTTCGATATGAAAATTAAGGATTTTAACTAGATAATTCTAGTTTTCACCAATATATTTTATATACAATTAGTTTTGATGGTGATGGTCTTAGTAAATTCTAGTTTTAACTAGTTAAAACCAGAAATGACTAAAGGAATTAGTGGAAACTAGTTTTGACTAGTTAAAACTAGTTTCGACGGCTTTCGGGTTTTAACTGTAACATATATAGGGCCTTTGATGTATGTAATACTCACTTGCACAGACGCTGTCATACCGAGTGTACGCAGTGTGTGTGTATAGTCACAGTTTAATTGTCCAGTTGTACGTTATTATATATTATACTTATACATAATCATATTGTCGTGTTATAACTTATTATATTAATGCTAAAATCACTAGTACGTCAAGCTTCACTTTCATCAGGTTATTAGCCCAGTCAATAACCAAGACATACAGTCTAGTGGATTCGTGATCGAAGTATTTTTATATTTGTATTAACGCAGAAAACTACAACCAGTCGGAGATATCCTGGATTTCGGAAAACAGCGGAACAGTGTACATAGGTAAAGTTTTGTTATAAATTGTTATACAGGAAAGTATACGGGAAACTGTTTCAATAACCAAGACTAGGACCACACAAGAATATAATATTATTACTACAGTATTACGCATGGTGTACGTGGCGCAATATATTAATTACTATTAACGAGTGCCACAAGGAAAAGTTAGTTTCCAAAGTACTAGAGGAGTCATAGCGAATACTTAAGTGGGACCTTGTAAAGGACTATGTAATTTGATTGCTGTCTACTATATAAAGGCTCCCCAGCAGGGAGACCAGACACACTATTTCTGCGTGACGACTAGTTGACAGTATTCATGCTAGAGATATTTGTCTTAAATTGTAACATTACTCTGAGTGCTTAAAAAGTATTAACCACTAACCTTTAGTCAATAAATGTATAATAATAATTAATTTGACTACGTGTTACTTCATTTGATTCGACCTTGTCAACCGAACTCCACATCTGGTTCGCAAAAGGAAAAATTTGGTACCGAAACCAGGGATCTTCACATACATCGTATCAACACGACGAAGATTCCTACCCGAATTCAATCAAAGGAGGCCTGATCAACTTCTCAAGAAAGAATTCAACATCTGCCGTGGACCAGCGAGTTTCTAGGAGTGTCACATCAATTCAATGAAAAAATCAGTAATGTACAATAGTTGGTAAGCGTAACTTATATCAGATAGTCCAACAAAACGTAGTAGTTTAAACATAACGTTAGACGATAGTTTTGAAATAGACGACCTTTCTAAAAGTCATATATTTAGTGTGGTATTTGGATCACCAGTTAGTATGACAGGAGATAATAGCAACAGTGGGTCGGACGCCACTAATACCACGAATTATGCAGTTAGTATAGATAAAACTGTAGAGCATGTAATAAGAATGGTACCCGAATTTAGTGGGGTTATAGACGAAAAATTAGTATTCTTAGGTTTAAAAAGGGAAATCCTAGAAATGAGGGTAGTAAACCTTGTACGAATTAACCTACAGCAAACGCATATTTGATATGCTTATTGCTCGAAACAGGGGCACACTATAGATAAATGTTATAAAAAGAAAAATGAAGATAGACGTAGAAAAGGTGAAAGCTCCAATTCGGGAAACGGCTATCGGCCACAGGAATAGAAGGTCCCTCTGTGGTTAAGGATTTAAGGGAAATATACGATATAAAACAAATAACGGTCGCAATGGAAAATCAACACATTAAAAGTAGGTCAGTAAATTTTATAAATGAAAGTTGGAATTTTTAGTGGATACAGGTAGCAGTGTAAATATAATTCGTTTATCCGCGTTAACGGCGGATACGAAGTTAGTACCAGGTGAAGCGATTTATTTAAGAGGAATAAGTAATACGTTAGAAACCACCATAGGTATAGTAGAGATACCAATAGAAATAGGTACAGAAATATTCGAAAATATAAAATTTTATATAGTTAAAAACGATATGCCACTCATTAAAGCAGGTATATTAGAAGACCATTTTTCCAGTTACAAAACACTACAATAAATATGCCATACAGGTGTAGCGCACACACGTTAACATTAGGAAATCATATAAGAATACCTCCGCTAGTAGAATATATAATGGCAGTAGGTGTTGACACTGGGACGGTTAAGGATAATGACGTAATAACTATTCATCAGGGAGAGCTACAGGAACAAGTATTCATAGGCAACGTAATAAACATAGTGAAGGACGGGCACGTGCTAGTAAACGTCATAAATTTATCTGATGAGGAAAAAATAATACGACCGGTGCGATTAAGTCAATTAAGTTATGAATTGTATAGGGAAAAATCGATAATGTATATTAACACTACCGAAAGTGAAACCTTGCCAAATTATTCCGAAAGGGTACAACAGTTAAAAAAGGAATTACGTACCGAACACTTAAATTCGGAAGAACTCGAAAGTATTGAGCAAGTGTGCATAGATTTAATGGACATATTTCATTTAGAGGGTGATAGGTTAACCCACACCACGTCCATAGAACATGAAATCAGAACTCCGGAGGGGGAACCTCCCATATATCAGAGACAATATAGGTTACCACATAGTCAAAGGGACGAAATAACGAAACAAATAAAACAAATGGAAAGCGACGGTATAATAGAACCGAGCAATAGTCCATGGAATAGTCCTATACTTTTAGTTCCGAAAAAAAATGGACGTATCAGGAAAACCAATATTTCGTTTAGTAGTGGATTTTCGAAAATTAAATAATATTATAGTAGGAGATAAAATGCCATTACTACAAATACAAGATGTGTTAGATCGATTAGGTAGGTCTAAGTACTTTTTTATTTTAGATCTAGCCCAAGGCTTTCATCAAATTTCGTTAAATAAATTATATAGGACAAAAGAATACTATGATAAAGGGCAGAATGAACAGAATATACATGTATGAGATAGCGTACTAATACTAGACCATGCTAGAAAACATAAGCTCACACCAATATGGGTGGGACCGTATCCGGTAATAAAATTATTAGAATATAACGTAAAAATACAAAAAGAAAAACTAATAGCTACTCTACATAAAAATCATGTTAAATTATTTAAAGAATAGTAATAATTAATTTAATCATAGATGTACATTAATATAATTTAATTATAGGTTCATAATAGTAATAGGAGCTTTTCAAGCCGTTCAATCGCAAAATTCGACATACAATGTTTCAACGATTCCACACGAGAGTGGGATCTACTTCGAAAATCGAGGTTCACTAAGGTTAACCAATTCCAATTGGAAATTATTTATATATATTAATTTGGATAATTATAATAATAGATATATAGAAACAATTAATTTTTATAACAAACCAGAAAAAATATGTAAAACTCTACAAAAAGAAAGCCCTGAGTTATTTAATACCACTTGTGGTAACTTTGCATTAAGCTCCGCGTCATTATTACAAGAAATTAGTAAAAAAAGGTCCAATATGTTGCAGTCTATAGATATAGAGGAGATAAACAAACGTGAAAAACGGGGATTGATCAATATAGTAGGACATATTCAGAAGACGTTATTCGGAACGTTGGACGACGAGGACGGGGAAATGTACTATACGTAAATAAGGGAACTCCAAAGTAGTAGAATAGGCATGTCAAAAATAGTTGATACACAAACTAGTATATTAAAATTAACAAATAGTGTATTTAAGGAAGCGCAGTCAATGGAAAACCAAATCCGAAACTTAAATATATCATGTAAGAATCTCGAAACTAGCTTAAAACGCGTATGGTATCAACTAGATGAGTTAGAAATACGAGCCACAACAACGAATTTAATAACAACATTGTTACTGCTACTGCAGAAATGAGTATTCTAAACAGATATGGTAGGTGAGATAATATTGGCATCGCAAAACGGTATAATACATTCAGGTATGATATCCACTAGAGAATTAAGAATGCAGCTGCGGGACATATTAATAAGTTTGCCCGGGCAGTTGAAATTACCTTTTGATGTAAATTATATATCACTCTACGAATTAAGTAAGACGTCAAAACTGGCTATAGTATATATTAATGGAACTCTCGTATTAGAGTTAGTAATTCCATTACTAAACCCAGTAGAATTAACACTATACCACATAATAAAATTGCCGGTACGTAAAGAACAGCTATATATGCATCTCACACCCGAATGCGAATACATGGCCATTTCAAAAACACACGAGTACTATTTAACAATTTCCGTGAACCATTTAATGAACCGTAAGAATTAATAAGCATGACACCATGTCCTGAGACACAACCCCTCAGGTTAGGAACAGCGTGGTTAAAATAGGAAATTGAATTAATCATGAAGCCAACGATAATTCCGAGAACCTGCGCAATAAAATACTTAGAATTATCACGTAGCATCTACCATAAGTTGAAAAATCATAATAAATGGATTTATATAATAAACACGTTAGATGATGTAGCTATCACCTGTGATCAATGGGATAACGCTAAGAATATACAACTAAGGGGTGTAGGTATAATAACATTAAGTGAACAATGCAGGGCGCATACACCACAAGTAGTCTTAACACCTAACAGGCACTTGAAGTCCGTTCTGTATACCGATTTCATTCCACCAGTTAAAATACCCACTAGTGTAAAAATTCCGTTACTACCCAGTGCTAAACTCGACAGTTTACTTATCCACCAAAATCCAGTAGTCAAGCTGAACGATATTAGTGACTTTTCAAAAACCATCGAGGAGTTGGAAAGCGCCATCCAGGAGGAAAAAGATAAGAGTATATTAAAATCAACCAGTGGTATGCATACAAAAATAATTATAATATTATGTATAATATTAGGAATAATGATAGTTTATAGTTTATATAGTGCTTATAAAAACAAACAAAAATACCGTAGTCATAGAATAGTAATTCCTAGAGTAGAAGTAACTACATTATAAAATATTTAATATTAAAAAATATGAGCACGGCAAGAGACTTAGTTAAATTTATGGATCATCTCTGCTATACGCTGCACGAAGACGAGCATACTGTACAATTACGTGAGGGTAGTCAGACGCCAGTTGACAGTATTCATGCTAGAGATATTTATCTTAAATTGTAACATTACTCTGAGTGCTTAAAAAGTATTAACCACTAACCTTTGGTCAATAAATTTATAATAATAATTAATTTGACTACGTGTTACTTCATTTGATTCGACTTTGTCAACCGAACTCCACATCTGGTTCGCAACAAAACCATCGGTCATGGAAGACACGGTGAAGATAACAAAATTATGTGCGGAAAACTGGTCGTTATGGAAATTCCAGATGAAGGTCATTCTAAATGCCTTGGAAATAGGTGATATAGTTTCAGGTGAATGGACGAAGCCAGGTATACCTATAAAGAAGTCCGACGAGGATGCCAAAGCACGTTGGCAAAGGCATACAAGCGCTTGGAGAAAAGCGGAGGTAAATGTCAAAAAATAATAGTTACCTCAGTGGACGATGGCCCATTAAAATATTTGCTTAACTGTGAGACTGCATTGGAAATGTGGGAGAAACTGCTGAGCATTTACGAGCAGAAGTCTGAGGCAAGTTTACATTTGCTTCAACAACAATTTTTTAGTTATTCAAAGTAGTTGACAGATGACATGTCGACACATATTTCTAAATTGGTCAATTTAGAAAGGAAACTGAGAGTAGCGGGTGAACCAGTTACGGATAACATGGTTATGACAAAAATACTAATGACCCTACCAAAAGAATATAATCATTTTTACAGTGCTTGGGATTCAGTCCCAACGGGAAGTAAAAATATAAATAATTTGACTAGTCGATTGTTGATTGAAGAATCACGGGTTATCCAGATCAAAGGTGAAGTTGGTGAACAAGAGAAATCGAGTGCATTTCGGCCAAATTTCAAAACAGATCTGATGGAAGAAACGGCAGTCGTAATTATGGAAAAGGTAAAAAGCAATTTACTAGTAAAAGTTATATTAAATGTTATTACTGTGGTAAACTAGGACATTATAAAAGAGACTGTAGACATTTTCTACATAGTATACACGGTGGTAAAACAGGTACTACAGGTGCAAACTTGAACGCATTCGTAATCGAGTCAAGAATAAATAATATTGCAACAGACGCGTGGGTACTAAACTCGGGCGCTTCGGATCATATGAGCGCGAATCGAGAGTGGTTTTCAAGTTATGAACCACTCGACAACACGCAACAAATCACTACCTCTATATAAATATAAATATTTATAGGTAATATTTAAATATTATCATACGTAAACGGTAATTGGAATAAAAATTACATGGCAAACGTGTTGCACGTGCCGGGACTAAAATTTAATTTATTTTCGTGCGCTGCCGCGATTTATAAAGGATTAGTAATGACGTCAGATAGTAAGACGTGTATGCTAACTAAACAGGGGAAATACGTATGCTCAGGTTATGACAATTATTTGTGCGAAAAATTTGGATGTACCACTTTGGGTGGAGGCGTTAAACACGGCTGTTTACACGCTTAATCGAACAGGAACCAGTTCAGTTAAAAATAACTCACCATACGAGTTATATTATAATTTAATGCCAGACATTAAGCACTTACGAGTTTTTGGTACTGTAGGATATACACACATACCAAAACAAAAACGTAAAAAGTGGGACCCTAAAAGTGAAAAAGGAATATTTGTTGTCTAATCGGATAACACGAAAAGTTATCGTGTGCATTATTCGAAAACAAATAAAATTTCAGTGTCTAGAGATATTATATTCGAAAACGAAGGTAATAAATTGGAAAATATAATTGTAGACAAATTAGAATTCACAGATACTCAGACTCAAATCGAGGACGATCCGGTCAAGGGTGAATTGACGACGGTCGACAACAGGAGTGGTACGTGATCGGAATACATTAAAAGCGCCGATCAGGTATAATGTGTCGTCGTTCGTCGCCAATCTCGTTGAACCACTAAATCGTGATGAAGCGATCGCTGGCCCACAGAAAAACGAGTGGGAGCACTCTATGAGTGATGAAATTATGTCACTGAAAACAACACTTGGTCACTAGTTAATTTGCCTCAGGGCAAGGTTACATTACGTAACGCATGGGTTTTCAAAACCAAATATAAAAGTGACGGTAATATCGATAAATTTAAGGCTAGATTGGTCATTAAAGGTTGTTCACAGAAATACGGTATAGATTACCATGAAACATTGTCGCCAGTGGTCAGATACGAATCAATTATGGCGATATTCGCAGTAGCAGCTATGGAAAAATTAATATTACGACAATTCGACATCAAGACAGCATTTCTGTACGGAGAACTACAGGAAGAAATTTAGATGGTACAACCACCAGGATACGAAGATGGATCGAATAAAGTATGTAAGCTTCAGCGTAGTTTATATGGCTTAAAACAAAGTCCAAGATGTTGGAATATACGTTTAAGAACTTTTTGAATGCATTTGGTTTACAATGTACCGAAGCGGATGCATGTATATTCAATGCTTATAACACTAACATTATTCTGTCAATATTTGTAGACGATGGTTTAATCGCTGCAGACAATGAAGAAATAATAGATAAACTTTTAACAAACTTGGAGAAAGAATTTGAGGTTAAAAAAGGAAATTTAGATTATTTCGTAGGTATGCAGGTAAATATAATGAAAAATGGTTCTTTATTTGTGCATCAGACCAATTATGCAAGTAGCATAATTAATAAGTTTAATATGCTGGACGCAAAGGAACTTTCAATTCCGATAGACAAATCACATACACTTGAACAAAAGGAAGTTACGGAAATATTGAATGAAGATATTCCTTATAGGCAGGCAGTAGGTAGCTTACTGTTCTTATCACAGGTAACGAGACCAGATATAGCATATGCAGTAAACTTTGCTAGTCGTTACTTAGCAAAATCAACTGAAGCTCATCGGAACTTGGTAAAACGGATTATACGATATGTCAAACGAACATTTAATTATGGCTTGTATTTGTTACGTACCTATCAATATATTAACTATGTACAATGTAAGGCACGTTTCTAGTAGTATTGACGATATAGCTAATAAGGCAATTAGTATATTATAACATGCTTAGATCATTGCGAAAACATAGTATAAAACAATTAAGCTATACAAGCGTCGTCACACGTATCTCCTCGGGAAAGCTAAACACCCATACGGAGGATACGAATCGACCAGCATACCAAGTACGAGACCAGGACTCTGTCTCATGACCGAATTTTGCCACTACTATGACCACCCACTCCAAAGGACTCGATCATATATATACCAGCCCAGGACAAGAGCTCGTCAGACGGTTAGGGATACCCAAGACACTTGGAGGCAGGTCGTAAAACCACTCACAGTCTTAGTATCAATTTGGAGGCAGGTCGTAACACCACTCAAAATCTTAGTAACAATTCAGAGTCAGGTCGTAACACCGCTCACCTCTCTACTTAAGCTTTATGCATTGTAATTTTGTACTTAAATAAATACTGATAATAACCTATTGCATCAAGTATTCATTTCCACGTTGATGTATATATCGACGTCAGTTGGCACGTAACAGAATTTTGGTGCTGTGGACAGGGTGCTTCCAAGACACAAGGAACATTCAACAATATTTTTCGAAATATTTTGGATCAACTTCAATCAACAGAGGCAATTTCACCATCATGGATCACCGTTGAGCTGAGGAGTGCACGCTTCAATTCAACGACTCTGGGAAGACCGAACGTTTGTTACAATCCAACTACGGCGAGAGAGATCAAGCAACGAGATGAATACAGCAATGTTGTAAGCATAATTTATATAACCGTCTCCTTTGGTCTATTGGTCCATCGTAATTAGGGAAAATTATTAAAGAAAGGGCATATTATAAAAATATTATTGAAATTATTAATAAGGGCATTTATTAAAGTTATTATCGAAGTTATAAGAGGGTATCTATTGAAATTATTATTGTAGTTATAAAAGGGGCAATTTTTATTATTAAATCGCATTTATTGATTACTATTGAAGATTAATTTGAGAATTATTAAAGGGCATTTATTAAGATTATTATCGAAGTTATTATTATGAATTATTAAAGGGCGTATTATATTATTTTGAGAATTATTATTGTGAATCATTGGGATTATATTTATTATTGAGGGCATATTATTGAGTTCATCTTATTATTTAAGTACAACTCCCTTGGAATTAGCTACTTCATTGAATAAAACACGTGTAGATTTTGAAGCCCATGTTTAAATCCCTAGCCCATGTTAAAGTTTTTGCCCAAGTTAAAGCCCACTAGCCCGAGTAAAAATACAAATTTAAAACCCTGAATCGAATAAAATTATATACAAACGAAAAGTTATAGTTACTATATTAAAAAAAAAAAAAAAATAATAATAATAAATAAAGAGTTAGAGTAAATTAATGAGAATAATAAAATATTAATGAACAATAGTTCAGAAGAAAATATTAATGACAAATTTGAAACGATAGCTAGAGAAACGTTAGATAGAATAATTGAAATAATCGAAAGTGAAAATAATTTAGAAATTGACAATAACGAAATAATTGACAACGTAGGAACAAATATTTTAGACGAAGGTTTAGACTCATTTAATGAAGAAATAATTAATGAACGTATAGAAATCAAACCAATAAATAGTGATATACTAAATAAAAGTTTACGATTAATAAACCTAGAAGAGTTTGAAAATAGTCCCACTACTAGCACATCTCGTCAAGGGTTACGAAGTAGTAGAAATAATATACACACCGAATATATACAACCAAAAAGAACAGTTAAAGTAAAGAAAATGCCAGGTAGTACCGACGGGAAATCCATAAGTGCGTTAGACGCAATAAAATTAATTCCTAACTATTCAGGACAAACCGAAGTATATCCATTTTTAAATGCATGCGAAATAATCATAAGTACGGTAGA